AATGAGGCGAAGGGTGATGGGTAATCGATATGATGGGGAGGAGGACGTGATGGGCGTGGGATGGAGGATGTATGTGAGAGATGATGATGGATGCTGGAGGTGTAAATGGCGATCGAGACCCCGACCGAAAAAAAAAACATGCGCCCCAGGAGATGAGCAAGCTGAACCAGGAGGTCCAGGGCATCCCCAACCTCTCGGACCTCCTCTCCCAGAAGATGCCCTCCGTGAAAAAGAGCCTCGACGATGGTGAGTTCCGCCAGGTCCTGATCGGGCGCCTCTCGATCAAGTCGACGATCGACCGCGTCCACGCTGAGAACAAGATCCTGCAGGGGGACCGCGACGCCCGCCTGGCCGCTTTGGAGAAAGATTAGGTAGGGGCTGCTCTTTTTCAACACGAGGTCGGAGCGTATTGTCGAGATACGGGGGGTGGTCGGAGTTGGGTGTGCTCGTCTTCACGGTTGGACTGGGCTCGAAACGCGTCGCTCTGATCGAGAGCGGTCGATGCTCGGTGACCGCTGCGAGGCGAGTTTGGCTAATACATCGATGTGCGTCCTAACGAATTCACCGAAATCTAGCCGAAACGCAACCATTCACCCAATATCTGGCCGTCGGGTCCAGCGCGGGGAGCGTTGAAGGTCCGGTGACGTTGACGATTGACGATCCGTTGACGGTTTGAGAAAATGACGATTTCGCCTGAGACATCCTCACAATTGAGCGTTGACACCACGGAGCGTTGACGATTGACGATCCGATGACGATCCGGCGACGGTTCGTTGACACTCGGGGTTGGCCCCCGCTGGGCCAGAACATGAAAAAACACTCGACATTGAGACCGACTGCCCCGATCTCGAGCTCGATCGCCTGGCTCGGAGCGGGCCAGGCGCCAGCCATACTACATGGGACATCATGCGGCCCATGATGTGGTGCGTGGTGGCTCACGGTCACAGAGAGCCGCGGCAAGTTCCATTTGAATTGCCAGCTTGCATGCGCAACCATGGGCTATACGTAAGTCCCCCGCCACGCTCCCCCCGAAGGTTTGTCGCACCCGAAATCGAGACGCATCGAACCATGTCAACCCCGCTCCCCCGTGAACCACAGACGAGCCCTGGTTGCGAGCCTGCGTTTACTGAGATTGCAGCGTGCATTGACACGCCTCGCCAGACTCCTCACTCTTGCGTCGTTCCCCATCGTCGCTTCATCTTTCCCTCTCCTCATCCCATTCCCCTCCCTCGGCTGCCCTGCTACCGCCCCCTTGCACCATTGCCTTCCCTTCCGCCTCATCTACCCCCGTCTCCCTCGACGTCCTGTCAACGTTCGCTTGACTCCGATGTCTCATCCTTGCTCGGCGTCGCTCTTATCAATCGCACTGCTGGCGATGTTTCAGAGTGGTGAGTGCGTGCCATGGTCACGCCCGCTCGCGTTTTCCCAGCCCGCCCGTGCGGCGGATCTTGCACTCGTGTCCAGAATGGGCCCGCGCCGACTCGAAAGCTGTTCGAAGGGATCGACAATGGCTGATGGGAGACTCGGAAGCTGTCAACGCTCGTGTGGGGTCGAACACGAGGACCCATGCTGGTTATGTCCATGGGTGAATATATGCTCGCACATTTTACGTGTTCAGGCGTGCGCGCGTGTAAACATGACACGTGTACATACACGTGCACGCGTGTATGTGCACCATAGCCACTCTGGGCCCATATCAGGTGTGAACGGCCGCGCGCACCCCCACGCCCTCTGGCAATGGCCCGATCTCGGAGTCGGAGTCGTCGCGCTTGGAGGCCATCCACATCTGATCAACGGAATAATGGTTCGGAAGCCTTAAAGCTGATCATTGGGCTATATGCCCAGTGTAAGATAACCGCGAAAGAGTTTCCGACGTTATGTTGGCATCTTGCAAAAGCTAATACTCCAGGGGGCGCGTTTGAGTTGTACGGACAGCCGCCGAATCTCCAGTCTGGTAGATATCAATCATATCTGGACACAGTGCTCCCCGCCCCAGCCCCGTTGTATGATATCAAGGCTCCTGGGAATTGGAATGCTGGTGCTCTCAGGAAGCCGCTGACGATCCCTTTCAGAACAGCCTTCGAGTCGATCGACACGGAGCTTGCGGGTGACCCATCGATTCTGGCTACCCTGGACGGCCCAGACGACGGTCGCCCCGAGTGCGCACTGGATACAAAGGCTTACATACACCACCCTTTGGTTACCCAGGCCCGAGATACAGGAGAACCACGGCCCCTCCCATTAGGTCTGTACGTAGGTGGAATCAATTACCAAAATGGGGCTTCTGGCAGACAAGACAATGTCGTTGGTTTCTGGGTCATCAACCTTGTAACATCAAAACGGCACCTGCTGGGTGGACTGAAAGATCGGGACGGGTGCAGATGTGGGTGTAGACACTGGTGCACTTTGCATCCTGTGCAACTGGCTTTGTGCACGCCTTAGCGTCTTGAATCCAGAAATGCATGTTTCCGACGGGCTGGGGAGGCTCGTCTCGCCACATGCTGGATTCGTGTCGAAACGCACGTGGGCCATACCCGTGAGTATGTGCATGTTACAAGTCTTAGGGCGGGGGATTCTGGGGGCTCCTGGGGCCGTCGCCGCATGCATTTGGTTTCAGAGGCGGCTGAGGCAATGGATGTTCAAGGCGCTCATGGATGGCGTATTCCCCCAACGTAGACACGACGGGACAGAGTGGGATCCTGACGATCCTCTTGGTGACCATCGACGTATGGCTAGAAAATCTGTTCTACTATGGATCAAAGGAGACTGGTCGGAGCACAATAAAACTTTGGGGCTCTCGGGGTGGGCAAGCAAGTACAACCCGTGCCAGTTTTGCGATCTAGCCAAAGACGAACTTCACAGTTTGAACCAATGTGCGATGGAACATTCCGACGTACCGATGTGGCCGTTGCGACGCCACAACGATTACGAGTTTGCGTGCAGGCGCTGTGAGGTAGATGTAGTTTGCACGACAGCTGCCGAGCGGAAACTATTGTCAGAGTGCATCGAATGGGCTCCCAAAAAGGCCAGACGGGGACCAACGGTGATTCGGGGCGTTCTCATCGGAGGGGCGGCCCTCACTATAGGGGATAGACTCGAGCCCTCGCCCACGCTGCTCGACATAGCGACGTTCCCTCGCGCTGCCCTTCCACTTCGTGCAACCTTTTGGCGGGCCCGGCGGGGAGAGCACGACGGTGTGGTGCTGGACTCAGTTCTGCACAGGTCACGGGGGGCGGGGATGATACGGAGAGGTGAATTGCATGATGGGTGAGGGATGTGTGGGGTCGGGGAGATGGGGGGACCGCATAATGCAATCGGGGGCGGGCGAGCCAGAGGATGATCTCATCCCGTCCTGTGCTCTAATACTCTTCTCCTGCTCCTCTCCTCCTCCTCCTCCTCCTCCTCCTCCTCCTCCCCCCCTCCTCCTCATCCTCCTCCTCCTCATCCTCATCCTCCTCCTCCTGCACATCCTCATCCTCGCATCCGCCCCCCCTCTCCCTTTGGGGCGATCCCGTCCAGGTGCCCATTATTTGACCAGGCCCTGCATACTTCTCCAGCGTCGACCCTTGCTATCGACAGCCTCCATACCCTCTATTACGGACCAATTCAGAAATATGTTTCGTCGTGCCTATGGAGGGTGTTGCGTGCCAACCCTTGGGACTGCAGGGGTAATCTCCAATCGCGCCTCGAGATTGGGTGTCGGCGGCTGTCGGCAGATATGGACGAATGGTTCCGATGCCATCCAGATGAAGCAATGAAAAACAAAACAATCGGATACCTTACGTTGCCAGCCTTGGGGTCAAAGAAAAACAAGAACGTTCCGAACTTGGCGCGGCATCCAGGATGTACAATGAGTTATAAGGCTGCCGAGACGGGTGTCCTTCTCGAGTTTACGGTGCACATGCTCGAATCGATTGGAGGGGCAGACAAATATGGCGAGCCCCTACTGCAAGGAGGGCATTCTTTGTTGCGATATCTAGAGCTCGTGCGTGCAAACACAGGTATCATGAATGACGATGTATGCTCGGAGCTCATGGTGTGCATCACGTTGCACTTGCGTTGCTGTGAGTTGTCTGGTATCGCACTAACTCCTAAGCATCACCTGAGCGTTCATATGACCGACAGGCGAGCCCTCGGAGTCTGAGTGCGTTTCAAGCTGGGTCGTTTCATTGCCACACGCACGTTAGTGCTACAACTCTCTCTCTCTCTCTCTCTCTCTCTCTCTCTCTCTCTCTCTCTCTCTCTCTCTATATATATATATACATGTGTTCTTTCTTCTTCTTTTTTCTCTCTCTCTCTCTCTCTCTCTCTCTCTCTCTCTCTCTCTCTCTCTCTCTCTCTCTCTCTCTCTCTCTCTCTCTCTCTCTCTCTCTCTCTCTCTCTCTCCCTCCCCCCATCTCCCTCCATCCCCCCCCATCCCTCCCTCCCCATCGGGTGCACGCGCCCCAGCTTGACGCAATCCAGATCCCGAGCCGGATGGTGACACGTAACGCATGCATCGGCCAACCGCGCTGTCTCCACATCCTCTGAACCCGCCCCATAGATGCCCCCGTCCACGTTGTCGGGGGGCATTGTGTTGTCATTCGGCACCTATGTGCAGAGCTGGGGTGTAGACGGCGCGGCTGGCCACATGGATGCGTTGCTTGGATATATATATATATGAACCTTCCAAGGAAACCTATGCGGAGTCCACCTGAGCGTGCGCGACGCCGTTGATGGATAACGGTTGAGTTTCATCCATCTTCCGTAGCTGTGTTGGCTGGAGACAGGCAGCGGAGTCACCGGGCGGTGCCGCCCGTCTGCAGCCGCTGCCGAGCCACTCTGTCTACTGAAAGTTCGCCGCGCCGAGCGCGGCCGCTTCCGGGCCACGCTCGGACGACTGATTCTGATCAGCCTCGCTGGCAGCCTTTGCGGACTGAGGGGAGCGAAGACCTGGCTGGGAGACGAGGATCCCGGGCGCGGGTCGCCCCTCTCCCGCGCTGCTGCTGGCGAGGAGCCCGATGGAGCGGGGAGCCCCGGGAGCCGTCGGGTGGCCCTTCCCGAGAGGGGCCTGGCTCGACGCAGCGCTGAATGGCGACCTGGTGCCGGGGCTGCCGCTGTGGGCTGGTGCACGGGTCCTGGCGCGTGTCAGGGACAACGACGGGGCGCCGCAGGGCGTCGAGATGCTCGAAGTGGAGGTCGCCTACCAGGCGGACGCCTTCGGCCGATTCTTCAAGGGCCGGCACGTGGGCGCCAGCGACCCGTACTTCTCATGGTATGCAGCCTCCTCCGGGCAGCAGGGCGCTCGCCCCCTGGCCACGGTCTTCCACCTCTGCAAGTGCAGCGCCGCCGAGTGCGGGGCGGTCCCCCCCGTGGGCGCAGTAGTCGAGCACTTGGACGTGTGGCAGGTGGTGGACCTCCGCGATGTGGCCCGCGAGCAGGCGAAGCTCATCTGCCCGGCCGCGGACCCTGGAGCGCCTGTGCTGGCCGACGCGCCCTCGGCCGAGCCGATGCCTGGAGAGCTCGGCGGCTGGCCGCTCGGGGACGGGGCCAACGAGGACGAGGAGGAGCCTCGCGGGCCACCGCGCAAGCGAGCCCGCGAGGTGGAGGGCACCCAGACCCCTGGCGGTCCAGGAGAGACGAGCCCGCTCGACCAGGAGCTTGCTGGGCTCGAGGAGACCGCCGAGGACCCAGAGCTCGAGGCGCGGCTGGCGCGGCTCGGGGGCAAGGCAGCTCGCGGTGGGCCGAGGCAGGGCACGCCCAAGAATGCTGCGCGCCCGGCAGGAGCCGTGGGCGAGCGTCTGGCGCAGGTGGTAGCTGGCCGAGCCGCCGCTGCTACCCCTGCGCGCGCCAGCGCCTCAGGGTCGAGGGGCAGGCTGGCGTCAGCGTTGACCGCTGCGCTCCTGGGGCGCGACGACGACGACGCGGAGGACGGCGCGGAGAGCGACACGGAGCGCCTCGGGGGCCGCGATCGCTACCAGGGCGTGAACATCAAGCGCGACTTGTTCCGCAGGATCGCTCGGCAGCGACCTGGTGCTCTCCTCGAGAATGGGCTTGGCCACCTGCGCAGCCAGTTCACCCAGCAGTTGTCCGGGGGCGAGGCCGACCCTCTGGCCCCGTGCGTCACGCAGTTCCTGAACACGGTGTTCTTCGTTGCTCATCCGCCGCGCACGCTGGGGACAGACGAGGTGCGGGTCCTCCGCACGCTGGGGCTGGCGCTCGACGGCATCCTGCGCGGAGAGGTCGTCGAGACAGCGGATCTGCTCATGCAGGAGTTCAAGGCGCGGACGATGGCCATCCGCGACGGGAACTGGCGGTCGGCACGGTGGCTCACGCTGGTCGCACAGGAACAGCTTCCGTCAGGCGCCTCTCTGGACGAGGAGAACGCTGCCGAGAAGGTCGAGGCCCGGGAGCTGAAGGTCGCCGAACTCCGCCAGCGACTTGCAGACCGCAGGCCGGGCTAGGGGTCTGGCCGGGAGCCGTCTCCGTTGCAGGGGGGGACGGCACCTGCAGGCCATGGGCGCGCGGAGGCGCGCCCCCCGCCCCCTGCCACCGGGACGCCAGTCTCGGGATCGGCCGAGGCGATGAGGATCCTGGCCGGACGAGTTCCAGGCGACGGTCCCGCAGCCCCTCCCGCCGAGAAGAAGCCGCCAGCAGCACGGAGGGCCAGCCGCAGTCCCACGCGGTCAGTCCAGCTCCTGAGCGACTCGGAGGGGGACCTCGACGCAGCAGCCGCCGCCCGCGTGCCACCAGCGGAGGCGACGGCGAGCCGGAGCTTCGCGCAGCACAAGGCGGCCCACCCGAGGCGCGAGGGCGAGACCCAGGCAGCGTGGAAGGCGCGCATCGGGAGGCCGCTGGCTGCCAAGAGCCGCGGCAAGGGCAAGACGGGGAAGAGCCGCGGCACGGGCACTGCTCGCAGGACGGCCTGGGTTCGGACGTGAGGGCCGACACGGCTATGGCCGCGGCCCAGAGCTCGCCCCCGCCTGCCCTCCGCCCGCCTGTGCGGCGGCTACGCGGCAGCTCACAGGCTCGGCGGTGGCGCCAGATGCTAGCCGAGGTGGGCACGGGCGTCAGCTCCAAGTTCAGGCTTGCCCTCGCAGTTCACGAGGCGGTGCACGGCTCGCCAGGGGCGATCGGGCGGTACGTTCGTAAGATGTGCACTTCGCCAGACCCCACGGCTAGCTTCGCGCGGCTGCGCGAGGTGTTGCCGTTACCGCTGCCCGACGCCCCATTCTTCGAGAGGTACCGTGCCGCCTGGCACCTGCACCAGCAGCTGCCGGAGACCTGCGAGGTGGACGCCGCCACGGCGCAGGGGTGGGCCCAGCTCGTGGTCTTCAGCCTGAACTACCAGTACACGGGCCACATGCGCAGTCCCACCGTCGCCGCGAGGCGGCCCACGGCCAGTCAGGTTAGTGCGCTCGGCATCGTGCAGGAGGCCTGTGAGTATTTCGTTCAGGATGCCGCCACGGCCTTCGAGCTCCCGGACTGGGACCAGGTCATCTCGTCGAGGAACGTCTCCTACGGGGGCGAGGAGACGGCCCGCGCCTTGCCGCTCTCGCTCGCGGGCATCATGCCAGGCCTCCCCACGCGCGGCGTCGCCGCCTCGGTCAAGGCGGTCGACATCGCGGATGCTCAGGTGGGCGCCTGGCTTGCCGACCCCACGCTGGCTTTGCTCCCACGAGATGAGTGGCCTGCAGAGGTCCCGCGGGCGGCGATCCAGGTCACGTCCAAGCAGGAATGGTACCGCATCGGGACCAAGCTCGTCGAGCTGGGGCTGGCGGCGCCGATCGCCGACGACCGCATCTTCAAGGTCGGGAACCGCAAGGTCCTGGCGGGGGCGTTCGGGGTCGCCAAGGGAGGCACACCGTCACCTGGTCAGGCGTGCGTCCAGCGGTTAATCATCAACATGGTCCCGGCCAATAGCTACCAGCGCATCATGAGGGATGACATCGGGACCCTTAGCGCGTCGCCCTCGTGGGTCGCCATCCCGCTCCCTGAGGGCCACATGCTGCTCTGGTCCTCGGATGACCAAGCCTCCGCTTTCTATTGCTACGAGCTGCCCGAGGCCTGGCAGCCATACATGACCCTCGCGGAGGCGATCCCGAATGAGCTCATCGGTGTGCCGGGTCCTGGGAAGACTCACCTCGCGCTGCGCGTCATCCCGATGGGCTGGATCAACGCGGTCACGGTGTTTCAGCACTGCCACAGGCGCCTCGGGTTCGGCTCTCGCCCCCTCGCTGCGGGGTTTCCCGCAGAGCTCGAGTGGCGCAAGGACCGGCCGCTTCCGTTCAAGTCGAAGGAGCTCGAGCAGCAGTGGATCCAGTACTACATCGATGACTGGGACCATGGCGAGGTGGTGCCCAACGCGATGGTCGCGGAGCTCCTCGGCACGATGAGCTGCGCGCAGGAGGAGCAGAGGGCCGCCTACGGCCGCTCGGGGATCAGCGTCGCCCCCGGCAAGGCCAAGCACCGCGCGCTGGTCCTGGAGCGGATGGGCGCGGGTCTTGACGGGGCCGTCGGCCGGGTCGGAGTCGCGACCGAGAAGCTGCACCAGCTGCTGGCGTTCATCCTGTGGGGCATGGGCAGGCAGGGCCTCTCGTCGCAGGGCATGCTCATGATCCTAGGCAGGTGCGCCAGGGCCGCGGAGTTCAGGAGGCCTTTTATGGGATTCCTCAACAGCGTGTGGGCTGCTGGGCGCTGGACGCGTCCACAGACTGTTCCCCTTGGCATGTGCGACGAGCTCTTGGGCTTCGCGATGGCGCTGCCGCTGGCCTACACCGACCTGCGCGCGAAGATTGACACGTGTGTCATAGCGACCGATGCCAGCGAGCGCGCCGGGGGCATCTGCCACACGGCCGGGCTCACGGCGCAGGGCATTGCGTGCGCGAGAGGGGGAGCTTCGGCTGTGACGTTGCGGCCTGGTGCAGTTGCGGCCCCTGTGCGGGGTGTGCGGTGGCGCCCTCGCATAGTTCTCATCGAGCTCTTCGCTGGCGCCGCGGGGGCCGCGGTGGCGGCCTCCAGACTCCCGATCGACGTGATGGCCCATGTCAGCTGCGAGGTCGAGCCCGCCGCCCGGCGACTGGTGCGACGCCGTTGGGCGGGCGTGATCGAGCTGGGCAACATCGAGGCCGTCGACACGGCGCGGTTTACTGAGATGCTGAAGGGCTACGCGCGGGACGCCGACTGGGTTGTCTTGACCGCGGGGAGCCCGTGTCAGGACCTGGCGAGCATCAATGTCGTGGGGACCGGCCTGGAGGGGTCGCGGTCGAGGCTCTTCTTCCGGGTCCCCGAGCTGATCCAGGCGGCAGAGGCTGCCTTTCCCAAGCGCACCATGTGGTTCGTCGAGAACGTGTTCAGCATGACCCTAGAGTCGAGGGCGGAGTTCACCAGGGCGCTTGGAGTCACACCCGTGTTCCTTGATGCCAAGTGTCTCACTCACGTCCGGCGGCCCCGCCTGTACTGGTGCTCGTGGCCCGTCACGGCGTTCTTGGCGTCCGACGCCACCGTCGAGACCAAGGGTGCGGGTGAAGCCACGTACTTCAAGGTCTCGCTTGCGGTGGAGAGGCTCCCACTGAGTGCCTCGCTCCTGAAGGGCTGGTCGACGCTCGACCCCGAGGCAGACCTCCCTTGTTTCACGAGGCCGATCCCGCGAAGTCACCCGCCGTTTCGGCCCGTGGGCCTCGACCGCGCCTCGGTGAGGGCCGCAGAGCGCTGGGCTGCCGACAGCTACCGATACCAGGTCAACAACTACGAGGACGGCAGCCTCATCTGGGATGCGAGGCGTGAGCGGGGCCGGCTGCCCGAGCCCGAGGAGCGTGCTGCCCTGATGGGGTTCGACCGTCTCTATTTCCAGGCCGCTGTAAAAGATAGTGCACCTGCCGCTGAGCGAGACAGCGTCATTGAGTCCCTGATCGGGAATACGTTCTGCGTTCAGGCTGTCATGTATCTTCTCGGCTCGTGGCTCGCTCAGGTGGGGGCGCTAGCGGCCGCCATCCCGGGCAGCAGCTGCCTCGCTGTGGGCACGTGCGAGGCGAACTGGAACGTGGTCCCCGACTTCCAGCAGCCGGGACATCGCGACCCGCGGTTGGAACGCAGCCTGATCGTGGAGTTCCTGAGGGTCGCCGACCGCGGGGGCACGGACGTCCGGCTTGACACGGGGGCACCCTACCGAGCCCGCGCGTGGCCGCGAGCAGCTCTCCGCACGCACCTCTGGGCCTGGCGGATCGCCAAAGGCTTTCGCTGGCAGCGGCCCGGGCACATCTCGGCTCTGGAGCTGGAGGCTGCTGTGGCTGGGGCGCGCTGGAGGTGTCGAGCAGTTGAGAACCACCGCTGCCGCTACCTGCACATACTGGATGCCCAAGCGATCGCAGCAGTCAGCACCAAGGGCAGATCGAGCGCAAGGGCTTTGCAGCCCGCGCTCCGCCGGCTCAACGCCCTCCTCCTCGCGACGGCAGGGTACCCGATGTACGGCTACTGTGACACCGACGACATGCCCGCCGACACGCCGTCCCGCTGGAGCTTCGGCCGCCGCTGCCTCGCCCCCAGCGCAGCCGCCGGCAAGGGCCAGGAGGGCCGCCCCCAGAAAGCGTGCAGCACAAGCAGCGGCAAAGGTGAGCCGGGTCACGGCTCAGGCGATGGCACGTCGAGCTGCAGCGAGATCCCAGCCGCTGAGGGAGGCGATGGTCACGCCTCTGACCCTGCAGCGGTACCGTGCGGCAGTCGATGAAGTCGTTGATTTCTGGATCCGGGAGCACCGGCAGCCGCAGACGCCCGCTCAGGTCGACGCTGGCGTGGCCGCCTTCATTGAGAGCCGCTGGTTGAGCGGAGGATCTTTGTTCGAAGTTAATAATGCTATTGCTGGCATCACGCACGCTTTCCCGCCCGTGCGAGGGCACCTGCGGGACAGCTGGCGCTTGGCCAAGACGTGGCAACGCCTGGAACCCGCTGGGCGGGCGCTGCCGATTGGTCCACTGATCGCGGCAGCGTTCGCTGGTGCATTTGCAGCCGTAGGCCAGCTCGGTGCTGCGGCGGTGCTGGCTGCGGGCTACGATGCTTTCCTCCGGACGGGCGAGATGACCTCGCTCGTGTGGTCCGATGTACAGCTGTACCCACTCCGACGAATGGCCGTGCTGCAGCTGCGCAATGCCAAGAGCCAGCACCAGACTGGTGCCCGAGAGTTCGTGCTCGTGCGGAGTGGTGTAGCGGTCGCCCTCCTAGCTAGAGCAAAGGCTCAGGCGCGCGGACAGGACTTGTGCCTCGGAATGGAGCCAAGCAGTTTCATGAACACTTTCAGCCGAGTGCGTGAGCTGCTGGAACTGCAGGATGCAAAGCTCACCCTCTACAGCTGGCGGAGGGGCGGCGCCTCCGCCGACTTCCGCAGCCATGGCTCCATGGAGCAGACGCTGCTCCGAGGCAGATGGGCCTCGGCGCGCACGGCCCGCTTGTATGTCCAGGATGCCGTCGCCGAGGCCACCCAATTAAATCTCTCGCCCACGCAGCGGAAGCGCTGCGGCCTGCTCGCGTCCCGCCTGCGAGCAGAAGCGAGGTGAACTGTTCTTGCTTTGTACTGCCTGTCTGTCTGTCCCTCCCATCCTCCACCTCTCTTCCCTCATTTCAGCACAGGAGGTGGAGGGCATAAATAGAAGCAAGAGGGAGCGAATTTTGCCAGAGTAGGGACCGTGGAGAGAGCTAGGGGGTTCAGGGGTTGGTGACGTTTAACCTCCCGGCGGTGCAAGTGTGTCAGCGCGTCTGGGACGCAGCGCGGGTGCTTAAGCGCCACGGCTGTGCCAGGCGGGTTGGGAGGCCCTTGGATGCCGCTGAAGGGACGGGACCTCTCCCAACTCCTGGAATGACCCCTGAGTAGCCCCCAGAGGTCCTGGCCTGACAAGCTCCCTGGCGGAGTGCACAAAAACAGGTGAGAGAAGCATATATGAACCTTCCAAGGAAACCTATGCGGAGTCCACCTGAGCGTGCGCGACGCCGTTGATGGATAACGGTTGAGTTTCATCCATCTTCCGTAGCTGTGTTGGCCCACCCACAGACAGGGGGCAGCATTGCTACCGTCTCGCGCGTGGCCGTGCCTGCCTCCGCGCGAGTTTTTGCCAGGACGAGAGCTAGGGGGTTCAGGGGTTGGTGACGTTTAACCTCCCGGCGGTGCAAGTGTGTCAGCGCGTCTGGGACGCAGCGCGGGTGCTTAAGCGCCACGGCTGTGCCAGGCGGGTTGGGAGGCCCTTGGATGCCGCTGAAGGGACGGGACCTCTCCCAACTCCTGGAAAGACCCCTGAGTAGCCCCCAGAGGTCCTGGCCTGACAAGCTCCCTGGCGGAGTGCACAAAAACAGGTGAGAGAAGCATATATATATATATATATATGCACCCCAGGGTGGCCGAGCACGGCTCGTTGAAAATGTACAACTGTTTCATTGACGAAGGTCTCAATTTGCCAGTGCGGAACATCGCCCGTTTCGCTCACAGGATGACGTTCTATCGCAGATTACATATTTTCGTTGACCTACTGTCACAGTTGAACCTGGTCCAGTACATTCCTGGGGGGAGATGGCTACCTCTCGTTGCTGGCTTCTGACGCTGGTGACGTTGCAATGCTTGAATTTGGCCTGGGCTGGGAAAGTGGTTTCCAAGCGGCCCGCTGCACATGCCCCCGACGAGCACCCAGCACACCCGATATTTCGCGAGGCGCGCTCCTGGGCCCGAGCACGCGCCGAGTACTGGATCGGGCGAGGGGCAAAGCTCGACTTCGCCAACCCCGATAACGACGGCTCACTCTACAAAGATTTGTTCCGAGATGTGTTGGAGAAAGCGCCTACTATCGTTCGCAATGTTGCGTTTGCAGAATTGTTTGCTGGTTACGCTGACACGACTCGCTTTGTGACCGTGTGTGGATACCGTGCGTATGCATACGATCGGAAATACGGCGACGATCTCCAAGACATCTGCACCATCGGGGGGCTATTGTACGCATTCTATTTGGTGACAGCTGTTGTGCACTCTGGTGTTGTTCATTGCTCCCCACAATGTAGCACTTGGGTTGGTGTCTCTCGGGGCCATACTGGGCGGCGCAACGATTTCGTCGAGGGGGACGAGACCAGGAACGACGTGAGGGAGGCCAATTGGCTGGCGTTCGCCTTGTCCAGAGGGGGGCATGTAAATCTCAACCGCCTCTCACCCCCGACGCGAGCTGAAAGGGCGATTGCCCTTGCTTTAACCGAGCGGTGCCGCGGGTCCGACGATGCTGCGGGGATCGAGTGTCGACGTTGTCTGGCCGATATGGGGTCGCCCTCGTCGCCGCGGGCGTGGCTCGAAACAAAACCTTGAGATCCGATGAAACCGTTTGGGTGGGTCGAACGGTCTTAGACGATGCACGCCGCCATGGAAGATACACGCCGTCCTGGACGGAACACATCATGGCGCATACACGCAGTCCTCACACAACATTGCGCATGGTTAACGCTCGATATTCCCATGCGTTCATGCGCGCATGCACGTTGCGCATCCATAACACATGCACACATTTACACCGAACGAACGATCGAGCGAGCGAGCCTGACAATCACCCATCGACTCAAGCCTCAACGCACCGTCAACGGGCCTTCAACGGGCCTTCAATTGTTAGTCTACGGCTGTTCCCCATACCTTGTTCATCGCCCCCACCCCCATCCGTAAAATGTTGACGGTGCGCGCGTGTTCCGTATACACAACCGCAATTCTGGGGATCGATGTGCGATGAGGAACCCCATATGAGAGGTACGGTGGACGTGCGAGGGGATGAGCTGAACGAGGGATGGTGGGTGGGAAAGGGTGGGGTTGACGGGGTAGGGATGGGTGTGGGACTGTTTGGGGCAACCTCCTAGAAGGTCGCAGATCGTGGTCTACGCTGTCACCCGCGGGGTGCAGGTGATCATAGAGCAGCCTCTGGATTCCTTGCTGTTTCACACCGAGGAGCTGAAAGCTGCCATGCAGGTGGCCAACATGACCCGTTTCACATCCAGCATGGGGGGCTTCGGATTCCGCACGCTTAAGCCATTGGAATTCTTCAGTACCTTGTCGCCGAACGTCGCATCTAGATTGATCATGGGCCGCGCTGAGTTTCGAGCGATCCAGGAGAGCAGTTCCTCTTCAACGGCGTTGGCCCCGATGACCCCGCGAGAAAACGTAGGGAGTGGTACTGGTTGGAAAAAGCTCGGCTGGGTCACGGGGGATCGCAACATCAAGGCTTCTGAGCGCTATCCTGAAGCGTTTGCCCAGACACTTGCGCAAGTTTCGATTGCATCGATGAGTGACGAGGGTCGTTCATCGACTAAGCTGTAGCTGCTTAGCGTACATGGGGGTGGGACTGTGGAGGACTGATGAGGCATATAGAGGGGTGGAGTGGGGGAGCGGGAAAGACGATAAGAGGAGGCGAGCAACGAGGAAGGGCGGCACCGACACGATGCTGCGAATCTGCTCACAACCTGGGGCGAGCAGGTCGCTCGTTTAGAGCGGCTCGAGACAGCGTCATTGGATGCTGTGGTGCTGGCGAGGTGCCCCCCAGATAATGCCCAATCGTTTCACCTCGGCCCTGCCTGTCCACCCTAGGCGTGCAACATTGCGCGTCTCATTGAATCGCGCTCCACCCCCCCCCCCCCCCCCGACGGGATCCAAGGGCTCTGCGCTGGAGCCCACGTCCTGTCCTTCCTCGCTCAGACCATCCATCTCATCCTCCTTCATCTCCTCCTCCTCGTCCTCCTCACCATCCTCCCCGCCTCATCCCACTCCTCCTCCTCCTCCTCCGCCTCCTCCTCATCCTCCTACTCCTCCTCCTCCTCCTCCTCCTCCTCCTCATCATCCCCCATCCTCCTCATCGGGGCCCCACAGGGCCTCAACACACGGGGTGACCCGCCATTGAGCTCAACTAACTGGGCGTTACACTAGTCATTTGAGCACGCAATGTTTAGACCACTCGTCCTCACCAATGGGCGAGTGCGGCGATCATCGCACTCATCCATGGGCGCGTCGGTCTCATCGATCCCAGATGACTCCCCAAGCTGCTGAGCAACCCGCCCACCAGGTCGGCTGGCCCCTGGTGGGCTCGCCCTTCTTCAGGTTGTAGAATTGTGGTGGCTCTGGTGTGTGACGTAACTTCAACCATTTAAACGATGCCATCTGCGCCCCCCCACTCTCTATCCGCGCCCGTGCGCTTTGATGCGAGCGCGGGTGGTGGGCGTGGGTCAGCGCAGATAGCATCACCTCGTTGGTTGAGAACGGTCCCGCCCTGTCCTGCTCCCACCTGCTTCCGCGGCTCTCTGTCGGCCAACCTCTTCCGCTCAGCGCGCAGCCTATCGAGCGCATCTTGTTATTTCTGTGTGGTCAAACCGACGCGTCGGTCGAGGAGGGGGGACACTGAATGCGAGGAGGGAGGTAATGCGGCAGAGGATGAGGATGGGACTGTGACACAACTATAATACTGGCATGCATTGACGTGTGGTTGGCGAAGTGGCCGACCCGTCTTAGGATATCCATGGATTGAGAAACTTAACCGCCCTCCTGTGTTCGGCCAGGGCCCGATCTGTCGGGCGAGATGCTCACTCTCCTCATCGTCCTCCTCCCCCTCCGCATGTTCATCATCCTCCCCGCCGCCCTCGTCCCATGCATGTAGTCGCCAACCTCTCTCATATGCTCGAGTACTCGTGATAATTCAACAACTCGGAACGCTTCGGTAACCCTCGAGCTCGCACGCAAAGCCGACTCGCACGATGGCCGTCAACTTTCGAGCGTAGGGACAAGTCGAATCATATATCGCGTGGCGGATGAAATTGGATCTGCACGCAAACGTTAAAACGGCCCCTGACACTCACTTAAATCCTTACGGACCGTCACTGGACCTTCAACGTACGTTCAATGTGTCGTCAATGGGCCTGCAACGGGCGATCGCTTGTAGATCCAACCTGTCCCTCGAAAGCCGTTCGGGCCGAACGTCGAGTAGTTTCGCCAGAGAAGCATCCAAGGACAACGGGCCGAATTAGCATCCCCTCCTCCTCTCCGTCCGTCCTCCTCCACTCCCGTTATTTTTTTTCCGTCCGATTGCATTCTGAAATCCTCCTTCTTCTCCTCCTCCTACTCCTCCTCCTCCTCCTCCTCCTCCGTATCTTCCCCCCCTCTGTGTACTATTATATACCTGCCAGGGCGCATGGCGCGCGTCAACGTTTTGACGCGCGCGCCATTGCGTACGCGTTGCTTCAGACATGGTGCCGCGTGTCAACGGCTTGCGCGCGGCATGGATGCCGATTTCGTTCACGGCACCAGGCCGTTGAACCAATACGTCGCTGGAAAAATGTCGCACGTGGGTGAACGTTATACGCCGTACGTGTTGTTGGAAGCACGATCACAATGATATGGTAACGCATTGGCGACTAACGTTGCTCATTGCGTTTGCGCAGGGACCGCCTCCCGAGAGAACACAACGTCTGTTTCAGCCGTGCGTTTCCAAACCGCGTACGCCCATATGCATACGCACACATGTACGTGCATAGGCACATACGCATGTGTTTATACGGATATAACACTAGGTATCTAAAGCAATGCGTGCGTTTATGGGAATTTACATATGTACATGTGCATGTGTGCTATGTACAAGCAAGCCCACACATCCATATATAATAACATTACACGCTGCTACGCATGTTGTCGTTGACGTTGCGAATTGCGCGGCAGGAATGGTTCGCGGCGCATTTCGCGCGAAATGCCTTGAACTGTGCATTGAATAGTGAAACCACACAAAAAAAACATAAAACGCGATTCACGTGGCACCTATAAAAATAGGTGCTGAATCTGCCGGCTAAATTATAGATGATCACGACCTCTGGGAGACATCCTCACAAAACCGGCTCCGGGGGAGGTGCCCAGAGGAGCCCAGAGCGGCCTCCGGCACCGTTTCCGGACAGATCCGGTGGATCCGGTGGATCCGGTGACGAATCCCAAACCGGCGCCCTCGTTTGAGACATCCTCACAAAACCGGCCCCGGAGGAGGTGCCCAGAGGAGCCCAGAGCGGCCTCCGGCACCGTTTTTGGACAGATCCAGTGGATCCGCTGGATCCGGTGACGAATCCCAAACCGGCGCCCTCGCTTGAGACATCCTCACAAAACCGGCCCCGGGGGAGGTGCCCAGAGGAGCCCAGAGCGGCCTCCGGCACCGTTTCCGGACAGATCCGGACAGATCCGGTGGATCCGCGCCCCGGGGGAGGTGCCCAGAGGAGGAATGAGGAGGAGGAGGAGGAGGAGGAGGAGGAGGAGGAGGAGGAGGAGGAGGAGGAGGAGGAGAAGATGATGGAGCTGCGGGGTGGAGGAGGACAGACGGAGGCAAGAGAAGGATGGAGGAGGAGGAGGAGGAGGAGGAGGAGGAGGAGGAGGAACCTCATCCTCACCCTCGCCAACAAACGCACGCACCTTCTTCTATATACAGAAACTCCCGATCAACCGCCCACTACTCGCAAAGTGCCTATTTCGCAAACGTCCGAACAAATCATGCTGGCCTCGACGTATTTGATCATAGATCACCCGCGGCGAGTTCAGGCCATTTGCGAGAAGGTACGTTGTGAGTCGTGGAATTCGCTTGTCTAGTTTCGGGGAGGCATATATCCGATCCCAAGTCAACATAACCGAACGTGCCCCGACTTGTATTGACACATGGCATGGCACAGTATTGCTGAGTAGTACAGTATAGAAGAGAGCTGAACTTAACACGCAAGATCAGGAGATAGTGCATCTATTAGGAAATAATTCGTCACACTTCGCGTATCCCCACCGTTCAAAAACGTTGCCCAGCGATTTGACGAGACAAGAGACGAAGAGACACATATAGTGAAACAGAGCGGGCCACCATGGTGACCAGAGAGTTTTGAGATCAGGGAGATGGCCTTCGAGGGTCTCTTCGGGCCATTCCTGTGGTCCGCGTGGGGGTGAGAGGAGGAGCAAGAGGAGGAGGCAAACCGCATCCCGGGGCCCTCGTGGGACACTCGTGGGTTTTCAGCTATCTTTGTGCCCTCTTGGGTCCCTCGAGGGGCTTTCTTGGTGCCCTCTTGGGAGCCCTGGAGGGCCTCCCGGGGCAATTTTGGAGTCTATCGACCCAAGGAGGTGGTGTCCCGATGCTGCTCCCTCCCCCTTTCTGGGGCCTTCCGCATCGGCTCTTGGGGCCCTCCTGAGGCGCTCTCGGGCCGCTCGTGGCCGCTCCTGGGGCCGCCTGGGGGGGCCTCCTGAGCCCCTCTCGGGCCTCCCGTGGGCCACCTCGGGCCTTGAGAGCGCCTCGGAAGCGAAACGACGAGAAGGCAAAGAGGATTGATTTGCCTCAGCTCACTGAAGGCTCTTGGCTTCTTGGGGGGGGCGTGTTGCGGGGGCTCCGAGATCACTCGGGACCGTCTGGTGGCTCTCGTAGGGCTTCTTGGAGGTATGTCGGAAGCTATCTTGAACCATCGTCGGCTATATTCAGCCATCTAGAAGGCCATCTTGGAGCATCGGAGGCCCTCTTGGGAGCCATTTTGGGCGAAAGAAAACCTTCCAACCCGTCGCAGCCCGCCCAAACCCCGAACAACCTCAGAGAGGGGAGGGGGAGGGTACCCCTCTCCGAAGGAAGAGTGGGTTGGAGGAGGAAAGCGAAACTTGCTAGAAATCTTCGCCCAAAGGACTGGTGGGATTGAAGAGTGCATTGCAGAACGTGGTGTAATACAAATGTACAATTCATATAGTCCAGGATCGAACATGGCTGAATATAGCAGTAAAGAAACGCCAGCGAGCGATTCACGGCGTCCTATCAGACGCGACGTGCGCGGCGAGGTCAGGCTGGCCACAGGGACTAAGAGGCGCAGCAACGACCGATTGGACAATGCATCAAGCGTGACAGGTGTCTCGTCGTCACGCGGGTCCGCCCAGAACAGAACAGAGTACGGTAGAACAGGACAGAATCGAATGATCTAGAGTTGACGCTTGTAGAATACAGCAGCGACCCATCAACGGCGCCCTATCAAAGTCAACATGCGCGCCGATCTCAGGCTGGCCACAGTAACGAACAGTGCGAGACTCGAGAACAAACGCCGATGGTTTCGATGGGGATCGCTCGAAGCAGAATAATCTCGCGATGCTGCATCTTTCGCAGTGTCGGATCCCAGGGAATTGTCAAAACAGAAGTTCTCGTAAGTTCGCGCGGACTTCTTGGGGTTTGGCGCGGGACCGCCCTCTCCACGCCGCCTCCCCTGGTACAGTCGCACACGAGGTGGAAGATCGAGGTCGGCTCGGGGAGGGTGCCCTGATGTTCTTCGCGCTTGTCGGATGCTCTTGCACATCCTGAGGGAGGGCACCCTCGAGAATGCTCTTCGTCTTGGCCGGCGGAGAGCCTCATGTGTTTGAAGCATTCAGGAGGGAGAAAAACACACAGACACAATTATTTGTCGATTTCCAGGAAAATATGGGGAAATATGGGAAGTGGGGGGGAAGACAAAAACCCAGAAAATATATGAAAACATGGGGAATCTTTTTATTTGTGTGTATTTATTTGTGTGTCCCAGTTTCCCTTCAAGCATGCTCTTCTGACCTCCGTCCGACGGTGCGTTCCGCACGCCGGGGCGGCGGCGCGGGGGGCTTACCGCCCAGTGGTGCGGGGAGGGGCGTCCGGCGCCGACCCGGGGCAGACGCACCGATTTGCCGCACTCGGAGCGCACACATCCGGCCACGCGCAGAGGGGGGGCCTGGGGAGAGGGGGGGAGGCTTCTCAGAATCAGGAGGGAAAAAACACACAGACACAATTAATCCTCGATTCCCAGGAAAATATGGGAAAGTATGGGAATTGGGGGGGAAGACAAAAACCCAGAAAATATGGAAAAATATAGGGGAATATTTTTATTTGTGTGTATTGATTTGTGTGTCCTAATATCCCTTTACAGAAGGAGGCTGCGTCTCAGGAGGCGCCGGCCTCATTAGGGCCGGCTCCTTTCAAAAAGCAAGGTTTTTGTTCACAAGCCTTTCCCCCTCCCGTCACCCCCTTGTACGCGCCGCCAAGCAATGGATTCAGGCGAGTGGAAGAGCGACGGGCCCCGCTTCCGTGAAGAATCAGTCGGGCGGCTTCAGCGCGTGGTTCGGGGCACGATACTTTCTCCAATCCACACATCCGTAGTCCGCCCTGGCGCGTGCCCAGCGCATGTTTACAACAATTTTGGCTGCTGGGTCCCAAGAGGTGTACGCATCGATCACGGAGGACGCCTCGGTCTCGCTCAGGGGCAGCTCGGAGATCGGTTTCTTGACCGAGGCGTTCCGCATCCTGGGCCCCGCTCGGGGCTTCCTGGGGTAGGGGCGGCGACTTGGTGTGCTCTCGGCTGCCAGTCAAAAGGCCGACCCAGAGCGTTCACGTCCAAGGCACGATTGGGTGAGGTACGGAGAAATAGGTACGATGCCCAACAGCAGATGTTGTCCAGACTGGCAACGGCCGCTGTTGTGCAGGCGACTTCTCTTCTCAAAGGGACAGCGCTTGCGGCGACACCGACAGCGAGTCCTGCTCAAAATGAGCTAGGACTGCGGATTATTCGTAACCATTCTTCCCGCACCCGTTTCGATCGTACCTGCTCGCGCTCTCTTTTGCGAAGGCCAAGAGCGCTTTTTGTTGAGCTGCCTGTTGAGACTCCTGTTGAGGTTCCTGTTGATCGTTCCTGTCGTTTCGATCGTGCCTACTTGCGCTCTCTTTCGCGAAAGCCACTGCGCTAACTGCACGAGCATTGTTCTCACTGAGGTGCCTCGCGGACTTCCAGGGCCGGCGCTGCACACCTCGTTGCCACGCCCTCTGCGCCGTCTCCTGGGCGCCACGGAAGATGTATGTCTCTCTCCGTGGGTCCGAGCGGACCTCCACCAGATCAGGATCAAGTTGGCAGGAGGAACGTTCAAACAATGTAAAAAAATAGTATGGGGAATATTTTGGGGGTGATTTGACTATGGTTGATTCTTCGTCCAAAACCTGCCTGTAGGAGGACATGCCCGACCTAATAGTAAGTCATGGGTGCCTGGTATGCCCTCCGAATTCCGTCTTTAGCGTCGTTTAGCGTCGATCCTCGTTTGGGAGTCGGTTAGCGTCGACTAGCGTCGATTAGCGTAGAATCGCAAGAGCCAGCACCGAAGGTATGCCTCTCTCCGTGAATCCGTGCGGGCCGCCACCATATTAAGTTTATGTAGGCAGTCTGGTTCTATTATGCACACGTTACGTCTATAGGCAGATGTCGCGATCCCTGAGCGTGGTTGGCCCTTGTCTCCTTCTCCCTGTGTCGATGTCGTGTTCGTGCATTTTTGTTCACTCCTTCCCTGTTCACCTACATCTCTACCAACTCACCATCCCGATATCCTCACTCATCTTCCGCCTGCATTCTTCCTCGGCCGTCCTTCGCTTTTCCTCCTCCCCCCGTGCCATCATTGGCTTCTTCCTGCTGTATCTTCGGCCGTCCTTCGCGTCTTCCTCCTCCCCCTTGTCATCATTGTCGTGTTCCTGCTCCATCCGCACTCCCCTCGTCCTCATCGACGCTCTGTATCCATCCGCCGCGACGAGAAGCCGCAGTGATCGTCTGTCCTCGAGCCTTCCGAGGTCCCTATCAAACAAGAGACCAGCAGCTAACGAACCTCGGTCCTCCCTGCGCAAGGGTGGCTCGATGTCGTTCGGCGCCGTGCCGCGGACGCGGGACGCGGGGGTGCCACCGCTTGTGCGGCCGCCGTCGGGGGCAATGTTTGGGGGAGAGCATCACGGGGGACGCGTCGACCCCCAATCACCCTCTCATTGCCGACAAGGACCCGATAACCCGCCCCGCCAAGGAGAGTGCGGTTTCGCCCATCCGGGGCCTTCCGCCGATCCACACACGACGTGTGCATAGCCGATTCCAGGTCGTTGGAGTCGTTGCCTCCCTCCCCTTTGCCAGTCCCCTCCACGGTCGGTTCACTCGTCGCCGACGTCTCCTCCTCCTCCTCCTCCTCCTCCTCCTCCTCCTCCTACTCTTCCGTTGCCATTTTGGCCCAAGTTGCAGGGCAATCCGCGATTTGAGTGGGCAGCTCCTTCGGAGCCATCCCAGGTGTCGTGCCTGGGCGGACACTCTCCCAGTTCCCGTCTTTGTCTCTCCCAGTTCCCAGACACTCCCAGTTCCCGCCATGTCGTCGGTCGAGGAAGGCATCAAGCAGATTCTGCAGCAGCTTGGGGGTGTCAGCCAGCGCTTGGCCACTGTCGAGTCATCTATGTCCGCGCTCGACTCCTTCAGAGAGAGCATCACGTCGCACGACAGGAACATGGCAGCGCTCACCCAGAGAATCAACACGATTGAGTCTCGCATCGCCTCCTCCTCGGACGCTGCTGCCGTCGCCGCTCTGCGCATCCAGATGGAGCAACGCATGGCCGCGATCGAGTCTTCCCAGTTCTGACGTGTCAGGCCCCCCCACCTCTCGCCGCCGTACTGGTACGCCTCCGTCTATCGCGGACAGCAGCACCAGCCGCTCCCATGAAGATGAATTCAACCCGCTCAAGGTCTGGGTCGGCGGCTTCACCAGACCCACGCTCAAGGCCTCGCTAGAGGAGCACGGCAACCTCCTGGTGCAGAGCTTGCCTACGCACATCAGGCAGGCAGGCATCGTCATCAAGGGGCACAATCTTGCGAAGAGCTATTCAATCCAGTTCGCCAGCAACGTCGACGCGTCCTCCTTCATCGACTACGCTCGTGCCCAAGGCATTTTGTGGAACGACTCCCACTCCAACTCTCAGGTCCAGCTTCGTTGCCGCCGCGATGCCCCGACCTCCGTTCGCCACAAGAACAAGTTCCTCGGAAAGATCTGGCAGCTGGTCAATGCACATCTTCGGCAGACTGGACAATGGAACGACGCCGCGCACAAACTCGGAGTCAACGGGTTCAAGGGCAGTCTCTTCTGCGCTGTCAACGGCGTGGTCCACGAGCTCTTCTCCGTTGCCGAGCAGGACGTCGGCCAGTTCGAGATCTCTCCGCACCCCGTCGGCATCGCCGCCTTCCAGATGTCGGCTGACCAGGCCAGCTCTATGATCACAGCCGCGCGCTCGTCTTGAACGAGTGCCTCGCCGACCAGGTCTGAACCAGCCTGCGTGGCTGGGATGCGCGTTCCCTACCCTCCGTCGCCTTCTCCGCTAGGTGTCTGAGCTCATCGGCATCCTCGGCCTCCTCGTCCTCCTCTTCTGGGTCGTCTGGGTCTTCTACTGGTTCGACCTCTCCGAGTGGGTCCTGTTTACCGTCTTCCATTGTGCCTTCCTGCTTCTCTCCGTTTCCTGGGGATTGGACTCATTCGCCGTTTATCTGGGAGTCTCACTTGAGTATCTCTTCGTGGAATGCTCGATCGCTTTTTGGGGGCATCACCTCGACTCTGGGCATCGTCACACGTAAAATGTTTCGCCTAGTATCCTATGTCCAGAAGTTCCAGGTGGTTTGCATTCAGGAAGCTAGAGGCACCAAGTTCGACCTCCAGAGGCTGTGTTCTGAAGTCAATGACATTTGGGGTATTGGGTCCTTCTTCGACGACAGGTCTGCGGGAGGTGTTCTCATCTTTCTGCACCCCGATCTCCGAAGTCAATTCCAATACTGTCGCTACTCCGTCCTTGTACAGGGCAGAATACAGTCTCTCACGCTGGGGGGCAGCCGTGGGACGTTGCAGCTTCTCAACATTCATCTCGATCTGTGTGTCGCCCTTCAAGGCCAGAAACATCATCTTATGCTTGTCAGACGTGCTCTACTCCCCCCCTCTGTGGCTACGGGCTTCGTCTTAGGCGATTTCAACTTTCCTGCGGCAGGAGAGGGCAGCTTCCATGTCTCGGGCGCTGTGCACTACTCCAGTTCCGACGCCGCCGCTTTCTTCGAGCAGCGCTTCGTCGATCTTTGCGAGGTCGAGCAACCCGCGTTCACGCACCGCGTGACTCAGGAGGAGGAAGGAGTTCAAGTCGTTCAAAATTACAGTCGTATCGATCGTATATACACAAACATGTTCAGCGCTACCATTCTTGAATACCACCCCAAGGCCCTCGCCCTGGAGCCCATCTCGAAGGTTGGCAAGCTCTCGGACCATGCCACCGTATGTCTGACGCTCAGCCCTGGGTCCAGTTGTGGTTTTCGTGTTCCCAGGTGGGTCACCAAACATTCGCGGTTTCCTGTCGCTGTCAGCGACTTACTTTCTTTGGTGGGACCGCTCTCGGACGATCCGTTCGAAAAAGCACTCGCAGACCAAGGACAGCCTTGTGCAGGCGTGTAAGGATGTTATCAATTTCAGCGCTGAGCAGACCAATAAGTCGTTGTCTGAGAAAATTGCATGTCTCTTTCAGCGCTTCGAGGCACTCTGCGAGGTCAGCTCTGGCCGGTGCGCAAGGCTGTCCTGGCCTACCCCGTGCTGAGCCGTTTCCTCGACCCAGAGTCTGCCATGTGGATGGACGTTCGGAGCTTCCATTCCCACATGAACGAAATGAAGCACGAGCTCATCTCTCAGCAAATCAACGAAGTCGTGCAGCAAGCTATTTCAGACACCCGCAAGCGTGACGTCAAAATCAAGCTTTACAAATATCAAACAGCGTGGGGAAGGAAGCATCGGCGCATTTCTCTATCTGGCGTCTCGGATCCGACTGGCAAGGCCATCGCAGATCCTGAGTGCGTCGCCACCGAGCTCGCAGCCTACCGGGGCCGAGTGCATTCGTGTGTCGACTGCTCGGGAGAGGACCGACAACTGCTTAGGGAATTCGTTCAACCTTGCCCGCTTGAAATCATCTGGAAGCTTGAGCCCCAGGAGTTTGCCTGCCCTTTTCAAGGTTTCGGACTCCGCCCCTGGTCCCGACGGCATTCCGTGCAGTTGCTATTCCAAGGGAGGGCCCGCAGTTGTCGACACTCTTTATGGGCTTTATTCGGGGATGCTCGCGAATGGAAGCGCCCCTGTCGGTTTTAACCGTGGCATGGCCGTCTTCCTCGCCAAGGGCAGCGACCCAGAGGATACCCCCCCGGCACATCATTCGTAAGCCCGAGGTCACTCGCCCCATTACTTTTGGGAATTCGGATAACAAGTTGGTTTCCGTCGCCCTCAACAGGTCCTTTTCGAGGGTCGCTGCCCAAACTGTGCTTGGCAACCAGCGAGGTTTTAACGCTGGCCGTTTCATGAGCGAGAATATTGTCAACCTCGAGAGTAAGGCGGTGTCTTGGTTTGCCCAATGCGGCCGCCAAAACGCGGGGACCATCTACTACGATGTTCGGGCTGCTTTTCCAAGTTTATTGCGCAGTTTCATCTTCTGGGTTCTTCGGGCCATGGGTATTCCTTCCTTCGTCATCAATG